GGGAAAGCAGGTACCACCACAATATGCACTGCTGTAATCATACCAGGTACCAGCACATTCAGTATGCACTGCTATTAAACCATGTACCACCACAGTATGCACTGCTGTTATAGCAGCTACCACCACAGTTAGTATGCACTGCTTTTGTAATAGCCGCTACCACCACTGTCAGTATGCACTGCCTTTGTGATAGCAGGTTCCACCACAGTGACTAGGCACTGCTGTAGTGATACCACAAACCACCACAGTCGGTTTGCACTGCTGTAGTTCAAGCAGGTACCACCACAGTCGGTATGCACTGCTGTAGTCATAGTGCATACCGTCGTGGTGTGTGTGCGTAAGTCCATGTATGTGTGTGCGTAAGTCAATGTGTGTGCGTGGTGTGTGTGTGTAGAAAACTACTCTTTTTTAATTAAGTTACTTCTTTCGCAGTAATAATGCCTGCATCTAAGTCCGTGTGTGTGTGTGTGTGGGTCGATGTGCATGTCTGCGGCCATGTGTGTGTGTGAGTCAATGTGTGTGTGTACGTCGCTCCATGTCAGTCAGTGTAAGTACATTTTTTTCTATGTGTGTGTTTTTTGGTCCATGTGTGCGTGTGAGTCCATGTGTGTGTGTCTGTACGTACGTGTGTGTGTGTGCGTACGTCCATGTGTGTGCGTACGTCCATGTGTGTGTCTCAGTCCATGTTTGTGTGCCTCTATGTGCGTGTGTCAGTCCATGTATGTTTGTGTGGGAGTCTATGTGTGTCAGTCGATGTGTGTATGGCAATGTGTCTATGTGTGACAGTCCACGTGTGTGTGTGCGTCGATATGTATGTGTGTGTGTAAGTTCATGTCTGTGTGTGTGAGCCTATGTATGTGTGAGTTGATGTGTGGCTTTCAGTCGATGTGTGTGCGTGGGTCCATGTGTGCGTGTGTAAGTCCCTGTGTGTGTCTGTAAGTCAATATGTGTGTGTGTAGGTCAATGTGTCTGTAAGTCTATGTATGTGTGTGTCACTCGATGTGTGTAAGTTAATGTGTGTGTGTGACTTGATATGTGTGTGTGTGTGTCAGTCCATGTGCATGTGTGTTCGTCGCTGTGTGTGCGTGGCTCCATGTTAGTCAGTGTTAGTCCATTTCGTTGCATGCCTGTAGGTCCATGTGTGCGTGTTAGTCCATATGTGTGCTTTATTCACTTGCTCAGGGCCTATGATACCATCATTAGGCCTGGGCTCTGGGTTGCTCCTCGTACTTTTCGAGTCCCTGACCCTCTGCTCACGATCTTTAAGGACCTTCATGATGGTGAGCGGCCCCACATCAAACTACGTGACCGTGAATCAGAGCCACTCCCTGTACATCTTGGGGTGCGACAGGGATGTCCACTGCCTCCCACAATCTTTTACATATGTTTGGACCACGTACTTCGTTAAGCCTTCAGCGCCTCTACCGGAAGAATTCACATCTGGTACAGATACAATGGGAGGCTCATCGATGCCCGGGTGCGGTCAATCGATGGCTCCCTATTGGTCAACCACGTTATGTATGCCGATGATCTGGTAATTAATGCTCACTCAGAAGAGGAGTTGGACGCGCTGCTGCTTAACCTTGAGCTTGCCACTAAGAGATGGGGCCTTACCCTCAGTCCCACCAAAACTAAGCACCTGCCTGGGTATTTTGTACCATCGGACAATCCACCCCCATAACTCACAATTGGTGTTGGGCCAGTTGTGGAGAGTGCAGAGTTTCCCATACCTGCCCAGTGTACTCATGACCAGCTCCGGTTTAACACCGGAGGTCTCACTCTGAATCAGTTGAGCTGCATTATCTTTTCATCGCCTGTGTAACACTGTGTTGAAGCTACCTGGTCTCTCGCTCCGCACAAAGCTTCACGTCGTCTCGCCCATGGTCATTCCCTCCCTTCTCTACACTTGCGAAACTTGGACCCCCCTAATGCAATATTTTCGCCGGTTACAAACATTTAGGCTGGCCTGCCTACGATCCATCCTGGGTTTAACCAGGCTGGATTGTGTGATGAGCTCACAAATTCTTGAAAGATCTGGACAAAGTCCCATTGGTGACCTCATATGCCAGGCAAGGCTGCGTTGGCTGGGCCATGTAGCCTGCATGGCCAGGCAAGGCTGCGTTGGCTGGGCCATGTAGCCTACATGCCCAGCCACCACATGCCTAAACACCTTTTGTTCCGCCGGATCGAGGTCTCTAAACGGGCGCGGCACAGGCTAGAGAAGAGATGGAGTGATGTGCTACAAGACGATGTGCAGCTGAGTGGACTTGTCGATGACTGGTACCAGCGGTGTCAAGGTCGGTATCTGTGGAGGAGCCTCGTGAAAGACGCTACAGGCCAGTTGGAGGCAGTCGGCCTCCAACAACAACGGAGGGCGGAGGAGCGACGCTCACAAGAACGAGCGGTGCACTGTGTGGCTAAAGCACAGCAAGTTAGCAGGGTACAGGGCACAGGTGGTGCATCTGCCAGTCATCTCAGTCGACCTGTGCCATCTGGGTCTGCCCCGTGACCTCCTGCCAGCAGGTGTTCGACACTTCACGTGGCCTCAAGGTGCACATAGCCTGCCACAAGCGTTGTGGTGACGTCACTGCCACTTAGTGGCGAATGGCGGTTGTTGTTGTTCAGTCTATATATGTATGTGTGAGTCGATATGTGTGTGTAACTCTGTGTGTTTGAGTCGATTTGTGTGTGTAACTACATGTGTCTCTCAAGTCGATGTCTGTGTGTGTGAGTCCATATGTGTTTGCGTGCGTGTAAGTCAGTCGGTTTCTATGTGTATGGGTCCATGTCTGTTTGTAAGTCCATGTGTGTGTCTGCCTTTTTCGCCCGGGCAACGCCGGGTACTAACCGCTAGTAGTGGAATAAAGCATAGCAAAGTCATTTAAAAAAAGGGAAGTGCTGTGAATGGAAAGTAACACGTTTATTGTTTGAAATAAAGATGTTTTTTGTAGTTGTGGGAAAATAACAAAAGAAAACGTGGGAAAAAACAAGTGACTAAATTAAACCATGGGGAGATTGACAAAAGAGTTTGTGAAAAGTTGTGTTTGATACCACCAACATACTGCAGTCGATGCAGCCACATCGTCTCGTAAATAGTATTCACATCGAAATTATACAGCATTTACTTGTAGTTTTCCCCCTTCCAATATTGTGCGATATGTTCTTCCTATTATAAGTTTGGTATATTTGTTTCTCAGAGGTGACAATCCTAACAATTCTTGAGTATATAAATGAATAATAACTGAGTGTATCAAAGATTTGCTTTGTCATGTTAACTGTGGCATATGTTCAATCTACTGACCCACGAAATATTTACGTATGAAGCTTTTATGAAGAAAGCTCTTGAAAAACAAACAGGTATAACGTATCATGGTAGAGTCACTCACACGTAAGACTATAAAAACTCTCCCACACATTGGGCAACGCTTGGGGAAATGTCAGCCACTGATTAAAAAAAACTTGCTCTGAGCCCGCCCACAGCACATGGATGTACCTTTAAAGCTGCGAGTGAAGTTGACCGTTTGGATCAGGCTCGACAAGACTCCCCTCAAAACATCTACTCTGCAGCTCCTTCATCTGGTATCAGCAGTGTAACAGATGCCTAGCAACTAAATTGTTCAAATTCATTTAAATTGTTTAGTCGACGATACCAATATGGTCTGTAAAAAAACTAAATAGATAATATCCATATGTTGAAGCTGTTTTTAAAAACTAGCTAAATATACTAAGGATAGTGTTTATATGCTACATTTATTTAAGAGAGCCTGCAACATTACTCTTAATTGCCTGCTTTTGAATATTTTATCGTGTGCCAGTGATGAGATGTTAACTACCTCGCCTGCTATACACGAGGCCGTGGGTTCGATCCTGATCGTGTTGTCTGTATATTTGGAGTTTGCATGATTTCCCCATGGTCGTGTGGATTTTTCTCCAGGTCCTCCCGTTTTTTTCCCACACTTAGAAGAATATATTTAGAGCATTTGGCTGCTATAAATTTCCACGTCATGATAAGCCACTTCGTTGAGCTATCATTTGTGGCAAGATTGTTTCTGAAAAATAGCTATAAAGCTCAGTGAGCTTTACCTGATTAAATTAAAAATAGTAAATTTTAGTTTTAGTTAATATGTGCATCGAGAAGTTTGTACCAGTAACCACGGATGGAAAGATGAGAGTCTTCAGGTTTGCTATTACTTAACTGTCAAAGTGTAAAACGGCAGTTTTAAAATGTGATGATAATAAACATATTTTTAGCTCAAAAATCTACCGAAAGGTTGATTAAAATACAGATTCTAAATATATTTTAAGGGACACATGGTAAAGTTGTACTTCAATAATTTAAACACAATAACGACCAATACAATGGAGACCAAAGAGAAATATTCTGGTATCGTCAAGAGAAGTTTTTTTTAAGTTACGACTTTTGAAAGACGATGACCAAATCAGGTGGAATGTGCCTGATCTCAGATCTGAGAAATAAAGTAGGTTTGAGCCTGGGGAGTATTTGGATGGGTGACAACATGCGTACAACAAATATTAGACACTCAGATGGGACCACATTGTGGGCAAGCAGAGGGCAGTGCAGCAAAATAAATTGTCGTACTTTATTGTGCTCCCACGTCTATGATCCCTGGCTTCACCAACCTACACTGACCAGTGTGGTGAAGGTTGGTCAAGCCACATCCATGGCCAGCATGGCGTGGGGAGGACCTTATCCAGCAGTAGATTAACAAAGGGCTGCACATGTCATTGTACATTAATTAATTTAAGTGCATATTTGTCAAAACATTGCACATGGTAACTTTTGTGCAATTTAGTGAGAAACTTTAGGTGGGAGACAGTATGACAGAATTTGGCTTTATCTACGTGTTGGTTGCATATTTTGATATTATACAGCCGTGCTAATTTGTCAGCATCACCTGTCTCATGGTTAACAGGTGTAGGAGTTCCACCACAGGTAAATGTTGGAATGTTTTAACATTTTTGTGCTTTACTTTTGTAAGGTGAGATAGCTTCAACAACATCAAGTCATGAATATTGCAATGAGCACGCTGTGCCTGATGCTGTTCATCGTTCACGCACAAGGTGAGTTTCTCAGCTGGACATGAATTCTGACAAAATGGGTTTTGTACTTGTTGCTTATGTATGTTGAACTTGTTTGTTGAACTTCTTCCGCACCGTACGTAGCCAACCTTGCTAATTGGAGGTGAGGGGGAAGGAAATATATATACGCTGTAGAATATATATAGCAAACTACCACAATAAATAACTTGGCTATTGCAGGAACATTTCAAGTCGAGCTTCTGAGTCGCAACTGGAAAATGTATTGTCTTTTCATAAACATGTGCGCGTTATAAATAGTTGTATTATTTATATAATATTGTTTTCCTACATTTATTCTTGAGTCACGATTTCAGTTGTAAACGTCAATTTGCTTGATCATTAGCCATAATCTATACACTGCTGGATGAAAACATCTCCAAGCTGTTGCCATCTCTTATGGCCTCATGATGTAACAATCCATGTAGATCCTGTACACGAGTTTATTGTATCCATCTCTGCATTGGCAATCCCCTTGGGTGTTCTCCCTCATTAGGCTGCCATTCCATCTTTAGTCCCATTCCTTCGAGTAATGTCTCCTGTCCTAGCCCATTTACTTCTTAAAAAGTTAATGTTCTCTTATCTATGTGTTGTTCATTTTGCTTTCTCTAAGTATAACTGCAAGCATGCATCTCCCCATGCTTCTTTGTACTCTTCCGCTCATGTTTCATTCTGTTTGTCCATGTTACACATTCATTTTTCATAGCAGATAATGTACACTGATTTAAAAACGTGCTTCTTTAGCACAATGGTATGTTTTCCAAAAGCACATCAACCTGCTTCTCGTCCCTTATAGATGAGGCTTCTTACGAAAAAAAAATCACTGATAATTCAATTTTCAAAGAAGGCTTCTCTCAACCAAAATTAGTCAGAGGGGTTATTTGGCCTTAATTCACCATGCTGGTCAGCACAGGGGTTGGGGAGTGCAGAACCAGCTCCATCCTGCGTGTAATAATACATCAGGATAATGTGTGTGTCTGTGTTTTCATATTTTACAGCACAGGATTCAGACAAGCCTCCGCAAAAAGAAAGAATTGATCCGAGTAATACTCACACAGCTTGTGTTGTGTTATTCTCGCCCCATTGCAAAGGGAGTAGGAATGGTTTGACTCAACGTAAAGCGTAGGGTTGCCGTGATATGACTTTTACGATATACGATCCACAATAATCGCACGGTCTATTTTGTAAAGTACAGCAATGAGATTTGATAAAAGTTGTTCGATGGATACACTTTTATTTGCACTCAAAAGTAGAAAATACGTAATTTTGACCCCAAACTTAATCAAATTTGATGTGCTGAATACAAGTTGGTGGTTTCTTTTCAATTTGTTTAATTTGCTTTATGCAAGCCACCCACTTTTATTCAGCATATCAAATTTGATTAATTTTGTGGTAAAAGATACATATTTTCTAATTTTGAGTACAAATTAAAGGGTGTGCATTGAAAAACGAGTTTTTCACCAATTTTTGTTGTTTTAGTCCCATTGTCCTTAACTTAATTGAGACTTGAACGTAATTTCTGGTCACTTGCATACAGTAAGCTGATGTAATGTTGAAGTCAAGCTAAGAAATGGAAGTAGCATGCATGTCACTGTTCATGCATGAGCAAATTGTATAACAGATTTACAGGGGAGAACATGCAAACGCCAAATATGCAGGCGCCAGGGTAAGGACCTCCTGTAGACCAGGCAAGGGAGTTGACATCTCGCCACTGCGAGTTGACGATGGTGCGCCATGGACTTCTGGCTCCCCGCATTCACACAGTGGGCTGTCACGTAGGCCCCATTGATGTTCGGAAGCAGCACACACTCCATGATCACACCAGTAGCGGTTTAACTGTAACATACATAGAAAGCTCTTAGCTCTGGCTTGTATACCTTGCTTATGTTACAGTTCGTAATGTGATCTACATTCTGTTTTTCAGGTGCTATTTTCGAATTCATCAAGCTATGTGTGGGAATGTTTTCTCATAAGGGTAAGTGAAATCTTAATATTACCAATCGCATTCCTAATTTAAGGTGCACACACATATATTGGTGTATATATAAAATTAATATGAATCTATATCAATGCTTGAATGTAATGATACACTGTTAGTGACAAATGTGTTTTTGTGAGTTAATTATTTGACATGACATTCACGAAACAAGTATTAACACGAGAAAATAAATGACTACTGTTTATTAGAAAATCAACACAATATCCAATATAATAAAGTTGTTGTAATTTAGGAATATTTTTTTTCAAAATACAGTTTAGCATTGCGATCTGTTATATTTACATCATGACATAAATATAGAGCATTCTACATAAATTACTAATCATGCTGTAACATATTAACTTGGTGAGTAATGGAATTTGAACAACTATAATAATGTAACAGACAGTGAAGGTCAGAATCACTGTATAGAAAGAAGTGAACTAAATCACAAACGAGTGATGAACCACGCCAGTGGTAGCATACAGAGAAAACAGGAAAATCGCAGAAGTGCAAAGTGTACTTTGAGGCTCTATATTGTCAAGAGGGAAGCCAATCAGACTTGACATAGAAGAAGAGGAAAAAGTGGGACTAAGAAGCCAAGGTTCCTATTAGTCTCAAAAGTGAAGGTCATCGCAGTAATCAAAGGCATGAAGCCAGCGACGGCAGCAGGATTTGACGGAATGCCTTCAGAAATTATAAAGCGTGTGATTTGATTAGATTTTGTGAGCTATTCGTATGAGAGAAGTAAATTACCAACATATTTTAATGAATATAATTTCCCCAATTCTAAAGAAACCAAATGCAACTAACGTCTCGGAGTTAAAAACAATTAATGTGATACCAGATGTCAATGGTTCTGCTAAACATTATTTAATCAAGGATGATCAAAGTCATAGCAGAGGCATACATTGCAAAGGGCCAATTTGTGTTGTATTGGGAACAAGAGAAGCAATTGGAGTGATGAGAATGATCGATAAAAGGTGCTTGGAGTTTATCTTAGAAGTTTATGTTTGTTTACTTCAATCAGAATATCTTTTCAATGTACTCAGTAAAATCAGAGTACACTGGAAAGATAGACGACTAATTTTGGGCTTGTACATGGGTCAAACAGTAACAGTGCAAATAATAGTACGGTACGATGCGCTTTAAATATGTAGTGTTTGACTTTACGCGGACAACTTCTGTCTTTCTTCAAACACCGCTTTATTTACATCATTCAACATGTCCTCCACACTCCACAGTATCCTGGTCACCACGGCTCGCTCGCCGTGCTCCGCCCGTCTCGCTCAACACCTTTGTCTCCCCACTATCACTTCACTTCTCCGCACACAGCGTCTTCGCACACAGCGAGTCCCCGTTCAGCAGCTCCGCACACAGCGTCTTCAGCTCCGCTATTGCTATGCTCTCTCCACTGCTGGCTATTCTCCTCAGCTCCTCCGCACACAGCATCTTCGCACACAGCGAGTTTCCGTTCAGCAACTCGCACACAGCGTCTTCGCTCCGCTATTGCTACGCTCTCTCCACTGCTACTTCGTCTTGCTTCAGCTCCGCTAACGCTACGCTCACTCCACTGCTAACTACTTCGTCTTGCTTCAGCTCTGCTAACGCTACGCTCACTCCACTGCTAACTACTTTGTCTTGCTTCAGCTCCGCTAACGCTATTCCAACTCCGTTTCTCACTCTGTCTCCAACTCTGTTCCGAACTCTGTTTCTACTCTGCTTCCAAACTCTGTTTCTAGATTCTGCTTCTACTCCGTTCCTAACTCTGCGTCTTCATCGTCCAGCTCCCAACTCCAACCAACCCCCGGCTCTCTGTGTCTCCCCCAATTTATCCCCATTCTCATTATCGCTAATTAATTGGCCCGCGTGCCTTCCCACGCTTCGGGTCCTCAAACACCTGTCCTTTTCCAGACATCCCGACGCCTCCTCGCCCTTGACAACAGCCACAGCCAATCACCGCCGTTGCTGATCCTCTGTCTTAATTGGCCCAACCGTTACCTCATCATTTCAGCCTTTGCACCTGGCTGTCCTAAGACGACCCACACTGTTTACGCCTTCTCCATAGGCTGACCCCAGATAAACCCACACTGTCCGTGTGATCATGCAATCGGACAGTTTCCACAACACACCTTCATACTCCACTACAAATATATGAAGTCCAATTGTGCACGTTTGAAATATTAGTTTCAGTAATTATATGATTTATATATTTTTTATTGACAATTAGTCATTTTAGTTTTAAAATTAACGAAAATTGATGCGATGCACCTTGTGATATGGAGGTCACTTATTGTCTCTTTTAAAAATATCCTTCAGCAAAAGAGTTTACCTGCCAAGTGGGAATGGATGATACGTTGAGTACAGTACGTTGTCTCCCTGAACAAGAATCCTGTGTCACTGCAAACGTAACTGTTGGTAAGGTGAACCTCACTATTGTGCTGCCTTCATACAAAGCAATTATTTTTTGTCTTCTCTGTATATTGAAAGGCATATCACTTGTTCTGATTTCCTTAATATATTTTATTCTTTCACGTGCCTGTGTTTTTAAACAGGGGTTTACACATTCATTTACAAGAGCTGTGCTTCGGACCTGGATTGTGTCTTTAAAGAACGCATTCGAAAAATGGTACTCAACGATGTGGCAGATCAGTACGAGGATTCTCGTGGGTGCATCCTAAATAGCTATGACTGCAACAGCGCCCCATATGGTGGTCCACCTCGTTCCCTGGCTCTGCTTATCCCCCCCATTCTATCCCTCCTCGTATTTTCCAGCTAATTTTCTCGCAGGGCTAGGTACGCACAATAACCCTACCGTTGCTGTTAAGTGTGGGACTAATCTATTAAAAGTACAGTTGCTCTTAAAATTTTCACAAGGGGTACTCATCTTATGTACCCCATAGGGTTAATGTAATGCATCAACCTGCCAACTAGGATATTAACGCAAGATCTCTGGATTGTTCGTCTGGATCGCCACCACACCACCTCCCGACTTTCAAATAGGAGTTATACTTTTAAATGGTATCAATTATGCACGAGGCAAAACAATCTGCTCTGTGCAATGCAATACATGGTTAAAGCAATTACATGATAACAATGTGCAATCGAGTTAGAATATTCAGTTCACAGCTTAAAGCTTGTAATTTCAAATAGCAATCGGGGGAACGGCATATTCCATTATCCCTTCTGAATTAGTCAAATTCATACTACTCTGTGGGAGGTCAACAGTGGTTGTCTTGTGGGTATAACTGTCCCTGCCATGGCAACGCAAAATATATATGTATGCCTTAGGGCAGCAATTGGAAAACTTGGATTCAGAATCGAGCAGACTGGATGGGCTTAAACCACAACGAACCATGAGGCTGGGGACTATTGTGCAGTGCAGGGAGCTACCAATTACATATACTGTGCTGTACAGCGTTCTGAAACCTCTTTCGTGTTATGGTGCGCTTGATATTTTTTCAAATTAAATTAATGGATACGGTGCCCCAGCGATCTCGTGGTTAAACCGGCCATGGTTCATGCAGTGTTTTTTTGTGATTTGCTTACCTTTCCTATACTTTGCACTGCTATTGTGTTTTCGTGTTGTAACTTTATGATCTGCCCCTACTGGACACATGTGAAAAGAGATATATAGGTAATCGGATTCCTCCAGGATAAATAAGGATTCTGATTGCAGCATAAGATATTGGTTGAATTCGCTGGCACAGAAAAAACTTATTTTTGTTTGTAATTAACAACCATCAATGAATGTGTACGTTAATGTTACGTTATTGCATTCACAATGAGTACTTCTTTAATCGGTGTTTATACTAATCAAATATGCTTTTAATTGTAACCCCCCCCCCATTAACTTATGACCATGATAAGCACTGAACAATAGTGCCACACGTTCCTTTCCGCCTCTACTACAGCGCCTCTCTACTGAGGAATGCTTTTGTTTTTACTTAATAGGAAGCTAATTTAAAGCTCAAAGTAAGAATGGATTGGTGTAGAATGGTAGTGCAATAGTTCACACACTGCATGATGAATCTAGAGACCTGGGTCTGATTCCTGTCCACGACTGCAAGG